GGGGGGGGGGGAATTCAGACAAGGAATCACGTAGGGTCACTTGGTTGGTGGTGCTTGGCGTGACGCGCTGGATGGCTTCATGTGTAGCACTCGCCTGTGGGCTACGACTCCCAGCACCATCCGAGTCAATGTGCTAGATGTAGTCAACTTTATCGTCAGGAAAATCTTTCAGTAAATTTTAATGCTTGGATATGTGACAGTCCTACAAAAAGGTAGGAGAAGCTACGTTTTGAGAAGGAGTAGTTCTAGCAAGCGAGAAATTTAATTTACCGCTATCTGATGAAAGATATATGTTTCGGCTATTTTCCGCGCCTGGTAATTTTTGTTCTGGCTTATTGAAATCAGCCGCGCCTCTCATTTTCTACTTTGACTAACGTCGCGCTAAATCTTGAGCGTCGTTGAGCTTATGCTGATCTGCTCTAAGACTGCGCCGAGTCCAGTCTGAAAGCTTCATTGTTTTCCAATGCTATTCAAAAGAGCGCCCTCAAGCACAAATTGAACATTGTGGGTTTTTGGAAAGTGTTCCTACGCCAAAGCTATCGGGATCTAGCACTTACTAAATTTTACTTTGATGGATATTTAGCATCGTGAAATCTACAATGAAGGGTTCTTATGAATGCTCAACTTGCTATGCTGTAAGTTGATGATTTCGAGACTAGCTTAAGATGATTATACAAAGTGATAATGACAAAAAACAATAATAAGGCAACTTTTTATCTTTTCCTTTAATCCACTGCATGAGATGACTTGGTTTTTTGTACAAATTGGTTTATGTTCCTCATGCAAAGCATTCTTCTTGTAGAAACAGTGGACGGGGTTGAGGTGGAGGTGGATTCCATGCAAATGAAGCGCCTGCGAAATGCCGGCCGAAATTCAGGAGTTTTTGGAGAGGACACACTCCTTGTCGATATTCAGTGACATTTTGCTGCAAGGTGACGTGTTGTTTTACTGGTGCCCATTACTCTCCCTCTTCTCACCCATTTTATCAATTGAGAACCCCCGCCCAACATACATGATTTTGTAAATAGAGCTCACTTTGTTTCAAAACCTTGATCTCATTACAAAGAATGGATGATCGAATGAAAGGCTGTGCTGACCGTGTGATGAGCGCAATTAAGTCAAATTTAAAAATACCTTTACCTTTTGAAGTTAAAATTTGGTGGCCTACTTTTATGACTTCGCAATCCTTTGCACATACTAAAGTCGACGATTCAAAAGATGTTGGTCCAAAAATGAAGTAAATGGAAGACATGGCTGAAGTGGCCAAAAGGGTGGTGGGCGTAGAACTGGTCTATCATGTTCTCACGGTTTTGGGCAACTTTTGGGCCCAAATGACATCCGTGCTCGCATTATTGGGCCTCTATGCAATGTTGTGGAATATTCATTGCTAAAATTAAGGAGACCGATTTCTACGTGGTGATGAACCGCATTTGGGAACACCACCAGCAAACAGTAAGTACAGTACTCTATTTTCTCATGGAATCATAGCACGAAGTTTTAATAACTTTATTGAGCGTGGTAGGTCAGGATAAAG